TATATATATATATATATATATATATATATATATACCATTTTGATAGACTAACCATTTCGCTTTTCTTTCCGTTTCTTTCTGATTAAGGCATTCATTAAATAATTGCATCCATCTGCCATATGGGACTGTGTAAACCATGACATTGACTTAGTGACAGGCAACAGTACTTGAGTAAATATTAAGTACCTATATTTAGAAGCAAGCCATGGTATTTACCCACGAGCAGATCATCAGCGTCATACAGCTCGTGCTTAAATGTAACAGCTGTTAGCGCTCGAACAGTCTTTTGTTTACAACAAGTACTATATTTGATTGCTTATAGGTATTTTCTCTATGCGCTATTCTGAACAGGCCGAAATACTTATGTGACGTCACGTGCTTATGAATATGTAAAGAGTGTAGAGTGAAGGAGAGGGGCAGCGTATGGCATATGGCATGTAGCGTATGAAATATGAAAATTTATTGCGTATACGCCACGTTGGCCGGCGCTTCGTATCGTTTGTTGTTCTTTTTGGGCATTTGGGCACATTTGATTGGGCTTCAGACTGAAACGCCATATATATGTTGATGCATATCTATAGAGGCATAGGCATCCCCGTTTCAAATCATGATGTCTTTATTTATATAAATGCTGATTTATGCGCTTCCCTTTCATGTTGCAAATTTATCTTTGTATTTTGCTTTTATTTCTTCGCTTTTTGGCAACGTCTCATTTTTTATGCCTAACGATTTGGCTAATTACACTGGAATAGCTAAAAGAAATAGAAACAACTCGTATTGTGTTTGGTCAGCAATGCTCGACTAACAGATACGATGTAGCCACCGTGAGAAATTCGTCTAATATATTTCTATCTCGTTTTCTGTAGGTATACCTTATAATTTTTCTTTAATTTTATCTTTCCATAATTCTATTTTACATAGAAAAAATATAATGTTTGAGTCTTGTGTCAATCAATCAATCATCAATTACTTCCTGGGACATTAATTTACTCCAGCCAATATACCCGATTCGCGCTCTTAATGGTTTAAAACGAAAGCAAAAGTCCGACAAAAAGAGAGGGGAGTGGGGCTGATCATTAAGTCCGAGTGTCCCGTTTGATTTGCCAGACATGTGTGAGACCTTTCGAATATGTGCGTGAATATTTGGCTTTTGTTTCGGGGACGATCGCCGGGACGCCGTTTGAATAAACAATTTTTGTTGCCATTATTATTGCTGTTGTTGGTGTTCTTCTTCATCTTGCTTAATGTGAGTCACGAATTCCAAAAAACTCAAAACAATAAGTCACAAAATTTGTTGGCTGCATTTCATTTCCACAAAATACAGCTCGACTGTCAACTATGCAAATAAAAGGCGTGTTATGTTTTTTTATGATTTGGAATGAGTCGGCCCATTACGCTGGGGGTGGGCCTCGATTATATAGGTCGATTATTTAGGTCCAGCGAATGTACAATGTTTGCTTAACCCAAAAGCTGGCCTACTCCTATTGTTATATGATAGCAGAGGGTATTTAAGTTTTTTGCTCAAATGGAAATGGAAATGGAAATGTATTTTAAAATATAGAGATCATATTTATTCTTCTGCTGGATATTATGTATTTAAAAAGAGTATTTAAATATTTCCAAGTCCAAAGATGAATTGTTGAAAGCAAAGTATACTTTGTATTGTTGTCCATATCTTAGGTTTTTGCAGTTATTCGAGGTTGCTGAACAGTGATCCAACACACCAGCAAACGTCGCAGCTAAGGATATCCAATGTTCGACTATTCATTTTGCACTTTCGTTCATGTTTTTCTATAAAATATTTTATTTATTTACCTTTGCATTTAGTTGAACTTTTTTGCGATGTGCCAAATATTTTTATGGCTCAGTTTTTCGATAGAACTTTTGGCGCTTGCGTTCGTAATAGCTGTTGCTAAATAAACAATAACAATATGATCGACTTTCGGCTTTTATGACTGCCTCGATGACGAGTCGTGCAGCTTTGGAAAGTACTAAAACAAAACACAAAAAACCGCCGCATGGAGAACTTTTGAATTTTCCCAGCCAACGCGTGCCTAATTTACTGTCAGCGCAATTATTGATCTTTAATGGGCGCGGAACAAGCAGTGCGAGAGGGAGCCGAAAATAGAGTGGTGGGGGTGTTAATTGTTCAGCATTGAGGCTCGTTTCTAATTGGATTGAAAGCAATCCGCAGGCAATAACAAATTATTACATAATCAACTCGGTAGCATGTGCCACTTGGTGTTCTGTTTACACTCGAATCGGCAGAGGCGCCAGCGAAGGATTTCTCCAGAGGCCCCTTTCACCCCGCTACATCAGTTCCCTTCCTTGTGTGAGTAATTCATTAGACTATATTGTGCTCCAAGGGGGAGCATTTGCATAATTATGCAATCACTTTTGGCACACTTACACATTAGGCGCAGACGGCTGATAAACAAGACCCGCCCGACCTCTCTCACAGCCCCAGTCCCGCTCGGGGGCTTGCTGTTGGCATAGACAAAAGCGCAGACACGGACTAGACCCAATTTGATTAGCACGCGCATACCGAATGAAGGCCAAGTCGTAGGGCGGTCTTCCCAACAATCCACCTTCACCGCCTCCCCTACGCAGCCTTTGCACACACCTAAATATTTGTTAGAGATGAGCGCGTGTTCAAGTAGTTGTACAAGTCGTGGCACGAACTACAAACCGAAACAATATATACTCTGTGGACAAGGCAAGCAAAATCTGGAGCTGCCAGTCTGAGTATATTTCTTTTGCGCTCTTCTAAACTCTTTCTATCTAAATGGACTCGTACTCCTTGCTAAGCACAAGTGCGAACACGAATTCGAAAAAAACACGAAATTCTATCATCCCTGATTCACATTTGATCTCCCTCGCTCTGCTCTGCTTGAGTTCTTACCGTGCTACATTCTCTATGCGAGGTGGAGCACTTAATCATCGTAGTGCGCCTCGTTTGGGCGTTTGTGTAAAGGTATTTGTGTGTTTGCCACCTCTGTCTCTGGCGCTTCTTCCCCTCTAATGCTGCTTTAACTTTTGCTGGCGCTGCTACTGCTGACTGCTCTTTGCTCCATTTGTAGCTGATTCTGTTGGCTTTTGGCTCTTAATTAGAAGTCAAATGTTTGCTCCAACAGTTTTTAGAGCACACTGCGGCATATGTGTGTGGGTATGCGGAAATGTGTGCGTGGCTGTGTGTGTGTGTGAGCCATTGTGATATGTCTTATTGGCCATTTGAATGCAGCCAGTTGAGTGCCAACAAATGAGTTATTAAGTTTGTGACGGGACTCACGATGCTGCCGGAGTTCCTTTGCAAAGATCTAACTCCTGAAAAATGACTTGCAATTTATTAAC